ACCAAATTCTCACAAATACATGAGTTAATACACCCCTAAGGTGGATTATGTGTGTTAATTCTTCCGTAATGTTTTTTGCCATTTATATGTCGATTTTGATTTCAATTTTCCTTGATATATCAATATTTAGTATTGTGTATATTTACATTCCATTTGGAGAGGAGTGCACAGTGCATTATGACTTTCTTCTCTCCCAAACCATACGGAAGTTTCTTGTTATTCAAAAATATTTTCTCTATCTATTTTACATAGAGAAAAAAATTAACAAAATTCTTATAAAGTGACCTTCTTACTACAATTGACATTTTGCCTTGACGTTTAGTTATATTCAGCTATATTACTCGTTTCGTTTAGCTTAATTAGCTTGGACGTGGTTTTTAAATTTCTTCAAAAATACAAAACTATGACCATGCAATAATACAAATAAGTTATATATATATGCTAAACTAATAGGCAGAAACTTTGTCGATGAATATTTACCGTTGATTAGTTTTACTCCTCGAAATTCTGATAATTTTTTTGTATAATTGAATTTTCAGCCTCTTTTTTTGTTTTTACCTCAGTTGAATTTTGATCAATTCCAAACTGTGATAACTAGTATATAGTGTATATACAGATCCCCATTATTAACATAACTAAATTTTACGTTTAGCAAGATTTTCTTAAACCATACACATGCATTAATGTCAAACCAGACCTCATAGGTAAGCTTGGAAGATTTACATCATAATCTATTTTTATTCATCCTTCTGCGTAGTCGTTTCTCTCAGGTTTTATTTTTCGGTTTGTTAAGTATAAGAAAACACCTATCGGCTCTAGATAAAATTTCGTCCAATATGAAATCACAGTTTGTTAGAATGCTTAGTATTATGAAAAATTGGGTGCAAGTGATGGCTTTTCATTTTTATGATAGAATCTTTTGATCGAACATTCTTGCGATCCGAGAACCCCTCGTTCAAGCTTCTTCCATGGATCTCCACTCCTTCCACCTATTATCAGATTCACAAGTTATGATCAATTTGATCAAAACAAAGAATCAAAATCTAGAGATTTTCAGTGTTCTCAAGGACATATCACATCTCTCTTTTGAGCATGTTCAAAGATCACTAAACTCAGAGGCTGAAATCAGACCTCAACATTGTATCGGTTCAACCGGGTTAGTCCGGTTTATTGCAATCAATTTCTTTTGACAAAAAAAAAAAAAAATTCATGTCATGTGTAATTTATATTCGATTTAGAGAGAAGCGCACTTGAAATTTTCTTCTTTCCCAAACCATAAGGCAATTTCTTGTTATTCAAAAGTACTTTATCATTAAGTTTCTTTCTTACTACATTTTTAGTCAGCTTCTTGACATTTTTGCCTTGACGCGTTGTTAGTTTTCAACTTTATTACTCTTTTCGTTCACCTTAATTTGCTTTGGACATAATTTTACATTTCTCCAACTATACAAAAATATGACTATGCAATGATGCAAATAAGCAATATATGCTTAGCTAATACGCAGAAATTTTGTCGATGATTATATACTTTATGCCAACAGATCGACGTTGGATCGCATCACTCACGCCATTTACAGATGTAGCTTAAATTAGTTTCACTCCTCCTCGCAATTCTAGTAATTTTTTACAGAATTTTTATCGTTGTTTTTATATGCAGATTATACCTCGATTGAATTCTGGTCAGTCCCAAAAATATAATAACAAATATGTCTAGAGGCAATTATTGACGTAACTAAATTTTGATAGCAAGATTTTAAACCAGACATGCATTAATGTCAAACCCAACCTCATAGTTACTTTGCAAGATATACGTATTACTCTGTTTTTAATCATTTTTCTACGTAGTCATCTCTCTCGACTTTTTTGTTATATCTAAAAACCGAGAAAACACATATCGGCTCTACTTATAATTTCGTCAAGTTTTAAATCACATTTTCTTAATTAGAATGCTGCTATCAAAATTTGGAGTAAGTGATGGCGTTTTATCTTTCGATTAAAAAAATTGATGGCCTTAAATTTTTATGATATAATCTTTGATGGAATATTCACTCGAGGACCAAAAACAAAAGAACACAGAGAGAAGCACCTTCAATAACTTAAAGGAACCATATTAAAATCTTAATACATTATTCTCCATATTAGCTAAAGAAGCACCTTCAATAATGTAAACCATGTAAGAAAATCTTAAGACAATGTTACTCATAGTAAAATTATTGGATGACCACTAAAACACCAGAAATTGGAGAGAAACTAGGAAGGTCTTAGACTAGACTCAAGGACATTGTTTTGTATTTAAATTTATTGAATTCTATGATCCTATTATTCAGATAATATGTATGAGGAATATGACTTGGAGATTCTTTTAAGATGTGTGCAAAGAATCACTTTGAAGGTGGATCAAGGCGAAGCGATTCCATCTTTCCCTCAATTGATTTGGATGACGATCCATCATCGCCATTGTTGTCTTGATCATCCTGAGAAAACATCATCTAAAGAAGAATCTCATTAAAAAAAAAAAGCATTTGAAGAATCTATGTTTGCACCTACAAATACTTGAAACTCATGGTTACTACCAAGAAAACAATTTTAAACAACATTTATTTCACAATGTTGATAGAACATAAAATTCAATGTTTTTAGCATCATACGGACCCTAATGTCGTTTAGATTACAATGGTGATACCCTTGGCGTTCACATCTCCCATCCACCCTCCATACAGTTACTGTACAAACCACACAAAACATAAAGCGTTAATATAAAGCTTTCAAACAAACATATATTCTAATTCGATTATCGACAGACAAGTAAACCACGAAATCAACCATATTTTTTTCTGTGATATTTACAATCTAAATTTTCAAAGAAAGAAACCCCAAGTATAAATTCATTACTCATTCGATATTTCTACAATTAAAAATTTACTTACCGTTCTTGATCCCCATTTCAGAACCTTGTGGTTTTGGGGTAAAATAGTAGACCGTTCCCTGAAACCGCTCTCCGGTACTCTTGTCTTTGAAATTGACAATAGATCCTAAGGGCCATTCTTGTGAGTTTCTCGAGGTCTTGCTTGCCATTTTTGAAGAGTATTAAAATGGGCTGATTCTGTATCTTTGGCTTTGCGTTATGTTTTTTGTGTTCTATAGGAAGATTTTTGTTTGTTCTCTCACTCAAAACATAGGAGGGACATATTTATATTCATTTGGAGGAAGTGCGGTTTAATTTTCCTCTCTCCTATTAAGTATAAGAAAAAAATGAAAACAAATTTACTTTGTTACAATATTTTTCGTCAGATTGTCGACAATTTGTTCCTTCACATTTAGTTCTTTTCAACTTTATTACTCATTTCGTTAAGTTAAATGTGTATGGACATAGTTTTGTATTTTTTTTAATATATGCTATAGCTAGTAAGCGGAAGATCAAAACAAAGCAAAGTCACAAAACTAACGAAATCCCACTTGAATAATAAAAAAAAAACTGTTGAAATGATACATTAAGGGGGTGATTGACAAATGACTTTAAATACGCTAAAGATTTTAAATAATATTAAAGTTTATAAAGTTATATTTTAACCAATCATATCTTAATAATTTAAAAATATTGAAAATTAAAAAAAAATCTCTTAAATTTTGAGCACTTTCTCCTTTTTTTCATACTCAACACATTTTTTTCAAAAGCCACCAAATATGATTTTAATATTTTTTTTCAAAGTGAGAAAAGTTTTATTTTTTTTTACAGTAACAATTTAAAATAAATATTGCATCAACCGTCCCAATCAATCATCCCCTGTTTTTTTTTTGGTCGAAACCCCTAATTTTTTTTAGTTAACACTTTTTGGACATCCATTACGAACAATTAATATCGAATTTAAACCAGACGGAAACAAACCACATTGAAACTATTGAAAAAAATATAGATTATATCAAAACAACTCATTACAAAACCAAACCAAATTAATTGCAACCTACATTTAATAATTATATACTAAAACTAAATCCAAAGATAATTGAAAATTTTTGAGAAATATCACTTTTGAAGTGTCATTTTTTAAAAATGCTACACTTAGC